ATTGACGGTTATCCCCCAGCTTCTTTTTTCTGCACAGTCCAAAGACAGGTCTCCAGTTCTTCACCCCACATTGGGGTGTGCAACTCTGTCGTAGTCTTGTCAGTTTAGATAGAAGCCAGTAAATGAGGATGTGAGGAAAATGCTGAGACTGATTCTGATTAATCAATAAGCTTTGTGAATGTCAATGCATTGGACACTGTTTATGCCACATGGCCAACTTCTGTTTTTTACATATATCAGGGACTGAATTTGGGGGTCAAAGTGAAAAAAACTAAGAGTTTGGCTGTGAATCTCATGCCACTAAACCAGAAAGGAAATTGCAAGGATGCGAGCACTGTCAAGGGAAAAATGGAGTTAGGGGACAGAAATGATCTTTATACTGACAAGAAATAACAATAAAGCCAAAAGAGATTGCTAACAGTTAAAAGTAGGACAAATATGAGACAAAGCAGCTGAGGAAAAGGAAATACTGCCTCAATGGAGAAGATAAGATAGCAAGACATACAACCAAGATGAATACATGAGGCCCTGGATACTGAGAGATGCTCAAAACTTTGAATGGCAGAGAGGCAAATGTCATTTTGCGATGTAGCTTTTCTTCAAATTGAACTATTTCCAGAGATAGAAGACATTTAGATTAAACAAAACCAAACCAAGAACAGCTCCTACCAATCCTGAAGCTCATCTATCCCAAGTCCTTCCTGTTTTGTTGCCTAAATAAATGGGAACAACACATAATGGCTAGTACTAGACACAAAAAGATCTATTCTGGACCAAACCCACTTGGTGGGATTACCAAGGCTGGATTTAAGAAAGCTGAAAAAGCAAATAAAAGTAGCTGTAAAAGGAAATTTCAAGGATTGCTTTAGAAGGAAGAGATCAACTTCTTATCAGGGGCAGCATGTTAATAAAGGATAATGATAATGTGCTTTCTTCACACCTTGCCCCTGATCCGTTTCACATGCACCACACGGTACCCATTTACCTGTCCTTAGGAATGCCCCATTCTTCTTAGAAAGTTTCATTTGCAGACACATGTAAATAGTAAAATCGTTGCCCCCAATAACACCTAGAGATTTTTTTATCTAGTGAAGTTTTTACTGATGAAGGATGCTCAATTAAGTTCTGAAGACTGAATTCCTCCGACTGCTCCCAGTTTGGGTACAACATGGCTGAAGCAGTAAGAATCTTTGAAAGCAATCTTCACGCTGCCACTCTGCCTCAGATCTGCCTTACAGGAACTCCAGTGCAAAATGATACAGTATGTAGCACTCATAGCATTTCAAATCTTGAAAGCATTTAACAAACAAAGCAATTACGAGCTAAAAGTGGGGTTCAGTTTTGATAGCCCATTCATGCCTTACCTTCTTAACTGGCATAGCCAGTACTGGCAATGGTAATGAGGGTTCTGTGATAAAGGAACTCAACCAGAATCCCATACGCACTTCACATGTATCAACAGTAACTCTGTTGTCAAACCCAGTTCAAAAGACAATGCCAAACTTATGGCTGAAGAAGACATCTAGCCTACTGAAGAACCCTACCCTGCTGGGATGCACTTCAGTCTGTTGTGAAGCATGCGAAGCTTTGTGCTGACCAACCTCTCTCAGGGTAACTTTAATTACTTCAGGATTTTGGACATCTTCCTTCTATCAAAGCCTTGCCTGAAGGAAAGTGCAAGTTTTTTTTTCAATTAACAAGAAATCTGATGCCAGTATTTTTTGTAATACTCTCCACAAATACTTGTGCACTTCGCACATTCCCATCCCACAGACAGCAGAGATGGGAGTTCGATATAGTGATGACAAAGCAGAACACACAGTGAATCTTGGGCCCTGCAACTGGGATCTAATTTATGTAACTGTGCGGAGGGCTTCAGGCTGATTTGAACCCATACAGTCAACGATTAAAGGAATCTTGCTAAAGGAACAAGTATTGAATCCATCACATACCTCTGAGAACAGGCAAGTCTGAGAAAGTGTCTCTGCTTTGCTTCTGGTTGTAATAGTCCACACTTTTCAGAATCTAAGCTGAAACAAAATGATATTGAGAAACCTGTGTTTCATATGAATACAACCATTCTGTTCCTGCCTTCAGCTTAAGCACTTACCAAGGGTAGAAGCTTGTAGAGCCATTCAGGATTATACAAACCCTTCACCACAGCGCCCTCGCTGCTCCCTTGTGAAGATCAGCCAATCATGCACTCAGGATACAAACCACAAACCACGCAGGAACTAGCAGACACGGCAGCTCAGAGAGTTGGGCGTAGGGCTTAGTTAGCACAGCATGGTTTTGCTTTGCTCACTGCCAAGGTTAAACCCGCATTCAGAATAGGTTCTGCAGTTCTGTGCTCTAGTTGCACTGAACAAGGTCCCATGTATACCCCATGACATGCTCATTCCTCTGGCTCTGACCACGTCCTACCTGTTGTAGAGACCATATGCTGTGCAACATACATAATCATTCAGTTTGACATATAGGAATGAGATCCCAAGTGTCCGTCTTGAAACTCTGTGCTTTTCATACTACAAGGCATCAAAATGGCAGTGCATTGCCTATGTGCTAATCTGCAGGGATGTCTCCTGCCAAAATTTCTCCTTCAGTTTGGAATAGTCTATACCCAGGCCTGACCCATGTACAATACATGTGAGTGTCTGTGTAAGTCTCTGCAAGAGAGAGCATGCAACCACTCTGCACTGGGGTGGATGAGACAAGAATCAGCCCCACAAAGTAGGGATTTTAGTAGACTCTGAAATGAGCACAGCTTGCCGATGGGTCTGTAAATCACGTGGCAATAGGGTGCAAAGAGCTCACTTCCTGTAAGCCACAGTCTAATTGGGGAACATATGCATTCATTGATGCATCCAGTTCAGGCACTGGGGGGTTGGGGCGTAGCCTTGTCCTGGAGGCCTGGATGAGGGGACCGAGGGAAAGGAGATGGTGCTGGAGATTGACAGTGGTCAAGGCTGGTTCTGTGGTAGCTTGTCACTACTGAATTTCTCTTTTGCTCAGGTTGTGAAATGATGGATAGTAAAAAACAAAAAGCAAAAAGCCCCATGAAAATAAAAGGAAAACCATAAAAGCAGAGGCCTCTTTGCCTCTTGTTTGACTGAGATTGAAACACCTGCCAGAGCCCAGCTATCAGTCCCTCGCCATGAGAATGAACAGGACAGGGCTCCACCTGCCCCTGGCAGCAGGTCTGCTGTGGTTGGCAAGGCACAGGAGGGCTAGAACTCTGATTGGCTGAAAAGAGAAAAGGGGTGGGTCTGGGCAATTGATTGACAGAAGCTTTCAGGGTGCAAGGCATCACTGTGTAGCCAGGCCTTCTCAGTCAGGAGGCGAAGGTGGGACTTGCACAGATGATTGACAGCTAATTTGAATGGGGGGAACTGGTAGAGAGCAAGCATTCTGATTGGCTGAGGAGACAGAGTGGGGTGGGCCTTTGCAGCTGATTGATGGCAGTTTGAATTTTAGGCAGGAAAATGATGCCCAACAGTCGTGGCAACTCCAGTTCCCTCAGGTAAAGGGAGTTGAGCCTGGCAGCAAGGGCCCCAGCCGGAGGTGCTGCATGGGCTGAGAGTGTGGGCAGGCGACCCCGTGCGCCCACAGCTGACCAGTGCCCATCTGCAGTTGGCCCAGGGAGCAGCCAGGGAGCGGCATGAAGCACAGATACCCTGCCCAGAGCCCTTGCTGTTATGTGCATGGAGGCGGCAAGCAAGGATTGCCCCCCTTGCCACACCTCATCCTGCTGCTGGGCCCAGACATCAACTGCTACCAAGGACTGGCAGGTCCAGTCCTTCCCTTCCCCCTCACCTCCCTTCCCCTCCCCGGGAGTGGTGTCATGCTCTGTACAGCAAGGTCCTGCCCTTTTACCACTTGGACAAGCTTATCACCCTCTGCTGCTGTTGCCTTTCCCTCTCCAACCCCTTTCCCTGTGGCATGGTGATGGCTACCCCAATCATCACGTGGTAAAAGCTTGACGAAAATCAGAAATACCAGAATTTCTCAGCCAGGGATCCTCAGATCTCTGGATTTCTTGTCATCCTGCTTCACTTGTGCTTCAGGGCTGTTTTCTTGATGGGGCTTCCTTGACATGGCTCATCACATTTCAGGGCTCATCAACCATTTGAAACTTGGCCACACACAGCCCTACCTTCTAGCCGGGAGGGGTAAATCTGCTCTTCTTCCTACCCTTCCAGTTGTTGCTAACATTAAGGCACAACGCTGCAACCTGGAGGGACCAGCTCTATTTGTCCGTCTCACAAAGTAGTACAGATATGGTGACAAAAAAGACAGGCAGATTATTCAGCTGAAACATTTTGTGCCAAAAAAGAGTTGCCCATTTGAAGCAAATTTGCCAGATTATTTCAATCAAAAAACACCCCTGAAGATTCCATACAGTGGAAACATTTCATTTTAATGTCTTTTTTAAAAAAAATATAAAAACCTTTTATTTTTTACATTTGCTTTGATGTTATTTTGAGAAGTTTAAAACCAGCTAAAAAACTCTTCAAAATTAAACTGCTTTTAAAATTTCAGGTCAAACGAAACATTTTTTTGTTTGACACAAAAGTAAACCATTTCAACTTGTTGGTTTGCCAAAAAGTCACAATATTTTGTTTGGAGCTAAATTAAATGCATTTCTTCCCAATACTGTAAGTAAAAGAAAACAACTCCCTCCCACTGCCCACCCCCAGTTATTTGCACAGCTGTACTAACACTAACCACAGAGATAGCTGGCTTAGGGAATGAGAAGCAGAATGTGAGAATCAAATATTGATTTCTTGCTTAGTAAAACAATAGGCTAAATACAAACCACAACTTCATTTACATGACATTATATTTATGATATTACCTAACAAAACAAAAGACAGGAAATTCACAGCTACATCCAATTTTAGGTACTCAGCTATGAATTCTCCAGCTTTATGGTTCAGCTTAACATGAACTGTGTTAATGTACATCATTGCTTTTGTTTTTTGGGAGAAATAACTTTGGCAAAGAGGACATTTTAAGTTAATGATCTGCATTTAAATTACAAATCATTAAGTGTGCCATCATTTTCATTAGGTATGCTACTCTTTCAGAGATGGACCCAGAGTACTAAATAAATAAGCTAGTCCAAGTATTTTCAAAAATTGCATTGTAGAAATGTATGGCTAAGAGGGACTTCAAAAGAACTCTTGGTCCAACTCCCTGTATTGAGGCAGACTCAAGTACACCTACATCATCATATAGATCCAAACATCCTATGTAGCCTTGTCCCAAATTAATCCCTCTGGAAATCCATGACATTGCATTATAATGATTTTGCACAACTAAAATATTTGGGGGCATTTAAAGTTAGGGGGAGGTCTATGCTGATACTGCCTATGCTGTGCCTGTAAATACTTATGTGCCTGCTAGGCATAGAGGCAACTTCAAGCTGGAACTTTTGTACATTTCAACATCAGTACATTACCCTTTAAAAAAAAATGTACTGAATGCCTTTCTTGCTTGTCATGGATACCAAAATCAAAGTTTTAGTTCTAAGAAATTCAGGATGAATGAGGGAGGATCCAGTCAAGGAAAAAAAAAGACACTGGTGCTAAGTGTCCCGCTCAAGCTAGTTATGATTCCAACAGGGTTATCTAATTGACTTGCGAAGAAACAGATCGATATGTGATGCTATATAACCAATGTCATGGTGCATCTCTGCACCAAGAGAGAAAAAGAAAAATACACAAAGGCAAAAGAGAAATCTCATGATTAAAATTTGTAATAGCTTCATTGAAACACATTATAAAATCAGTTTTTTCTCTGCAGGAGTGAGACAGATAAAAATTGACTCCATTTGAAGTACAAACAACAAAGATAGTCAGGGAGTTATAAAACAGATAGCACCCTCCTTAGAAAGATTTGTCTTTTGCTCTCAGTTCCTAGTGCTTGCAGTGATCTCTCTCTCTGAAAAATCTTAATTAAACCAATACATTTTCCATCTTAGGTGCTTGAAGATGTGCACACTTTGATTAAAAAAGGTTAATTATCATCTTTATTTAAAAAATGAAGGTAGTAACATTTTGGTGTTTTGCTTCAAATTTGTGTCTATCCTTGTATTAAAAAACCCCATATGAACCAATCAGGAATGTGATGGGGGTCGGAAAGGAGAAGGGTGTTGGTCGATGGGAGAAATAAGGTGGAAACACACACATTTATTATACATTTTAATATCTTGTCTTTTGAAGTTGCAAAATACAATTATAGGCTGGGTGCCTGTCAGGGCTTGAAATCAATTTGATACACAACTGAGGCAGCCTTCACTGGTGACTGTCAGGAATTGTACAAAGACCAACCCACCCTACTGCTAACTAATGAAAAGTAGGGAGGGGAACAGAATCATCTTCTAAAACTGTGAATTGACAATTCACAAGCATTATTTAAATCATTTGGAGGCTGCATTCCCTTTTTATGCTATTACTGCATCAACTAAAATGCACTCCCCGCCCCCCCCATTGTGTACGCCAGCTGCCAACACTAATGGATCCAAGCTGATCAGTATAGAAACAATATTCTTACAGTTTAGTGGAGAAGTCCTCAAGCATGAGACGTATCCTTTCTTATTCCATAGTTCCATATATTGTACTGGCAGTGCAATCTAGTTTTTACTGGCTCAAGCCTGGATCTGGCATTTGAATTTAGACTGCTTGTTGTATATGTGTTCAAACATGCTTATTATAGAGATCATACAAGACACCTGAAATCCTGGTTTAAGAGTAGAAAGTATTGTATAAGTGTATTTAAACTTACTGGTTAATAAAATTTGCTGTCCCTTCTCATTTTAGATGTCTTAACACTAATATATATTTTTAATGTATAGAAGTCAAAGGACTTTACTAGGATTGCATCCATTATTATGTACATGAGTAAACAGTACAGAAAGGTTAGGTGGCTTGCCTAAAGTTAGTAAATTATTATATTTTCTCATGTACAACATACATTTTTTATTCCAAAAAAATAGCTGCTGGAAATTGAAATGTGCATTATATGTGATATATACTGTAAGAACAGTTTCTGCCAGTTACAGGGCAAACATAAAAGTAAAATCTGCACACAACTCACAGGGAGCAGAACACAGAGAAGATCTGGCTGCCTAGTGGCTGCTACTTAGTTACTTACTACAAAGATTTTTTTACTCTTCATTTTGCCTTTCAAAAACAGGGTACATATTTTATTCTGGGAGATGTAACCAAGAAGATATGGGCATGACAAGGGTAAGAGTAGAACCAATCTCATCTTTTTATTTTGTTGCCATAATGCAGTCTCCCTTATCTGTTCAGGACCTCCATTTCATGCTAATCACCTCCATAAGGTAATTGAAAAAACATTCTTTTCCATCCCCTTATTTTTGGGGGGTTTGCTAACAAACACGCCCAGTCCCACCTGCCCTATGTAGATGTGAAACTGAGAACTACACTATATCAACCTATTCCTTTACCATCAAAACTAAGTGGGTAATAAATAACATGTCTTCCTTATACTTTCCTATTTGCAGAATTGTGGTGGTTTACTGAGCTGGAGCTTGAAAACACACAGGCAGGGACTGCAGCACGGAAACCCTCTGGTATCTCTTATTAACTTTATAAACTGAACTGCTACTTATCATATCCATGGCATTCAGGAGGCACATGAAGAACCTGGTAAAAAAATATTCTGATGCTGAGGTAAAAGTCAGGGAAGCAACTTCTAATGACCCTTGGGGCTCCTCTAGTTCGCTAATGTTAGAGATCAGTGACCTGACGTACAATGCAGTTTCTCTTCTGGAAATTATGAACATGATATGGCACAGGATGAATGACCATGGAAAGAACTGGAGGCATGTGTATAAATCCCTCACACTCTTGGATTATCTCATCAAGAATGGATCAAAGAAAGTCATACATCATTGTCGAGAGGGCTTCTTTAACATTCAAACATTAAAGGACTTTCATTATATAGATGAGGATGGAAAGGATCAAGGTAAAGGTGGCTTGACAAGTCCTGTCAATTAAAGTTAAGAAGGTGCTGGTGGGATTACTTAAATTAATCGCTGAAGGAAAGATAGCAAGTAATTATAGCTGCACCTAAGAAATTTAGAAAGAGGATAAGGAGGAGCAATTTACCATCATATCAGCAAAAAAGTATGCATAAAAAGCACCTTCCTAACAAATAAAATCAAGGGTAAAATCTTAGATCCATTGACTCTGATGGAGCTAGGATTTCACTTCATGTGTCTATGGACTAGTGAAAGAAGTTTAAATACAATGTGGGGTGAGCTGAAATGCTGGAACTGATAGAAGATTTACATGCAGTTGGCATTTCTGAAAAATGGTGTGATGAAAATAAGTAGTCAGAAACCATATTTTCTGGTTGCTGTAAAATATACATTAAAATAGGGTGAGTTGTAATACTCAACATAGGACTTTTCAAGAGAATTTGTAGATGAAGTGCATGAAATAGCATGTGTGAGTACAGAAGTCTCATGTCATAGATTTATATGACCACATAAATTAATATTGCTTCTAAGTGCCTCATAGTAACATGCCAAATGTCCAACAACTGGGAGGCAAATGCTGAACATGA